CACAGTAAGGGAAAAATTTACTTCTTACCATATATGGCTGATTTAGCAAAGTGTTCAGGGATTAGAAACCCTTCCCTAGCCAAGAGGTCTGCAGCCAGGCATTTTAGTCTCTGCTACGGTAGCATTGTGGGGAAAATATATAGCAAATGACTCCAGGGAAATGTGTGGGAAAGAACAGCCTCTGCACACATCTTTTGGAATAGTAGAATCTGGCCAACTGCTATTTTTACACACGGCATTACTTTAAAAAAAGTATGAATCCAAATGTAGAGCAGGAATACCTCTTCATGCTACAGATTACAATTCTGGCTGAATTAATATTTCAGAGAGCAAGTCAACTAATTAACAAACATTTGCCATATCCTTATGAGGTGTATAGCACCCAGGCAGGTGAAAACTTTAATCTCATCACCTTGTCTACAAGTATACATTTTCTCCTAAAAATTAATAGTTCTGAATATATAAAGGGCCAGCCCTAAGATAAATTGTGACGTAGAAAAAGTTTGTATTTTGTCCTTTCCCCTTCACTACCATTTTGGAGAAATTTCCTCTTCCCAACTCCCAAGTGCCCAGTCAGAAGCATAGCCTTTGATATGTCATTAATACCTTACATTTTACCAATGCCTTTATCACACTACTGACTTTAATAGGTTGTCCTTGCTAGGAGGGGGACAAATTAAGCAAAGATGAAGGGGAGAAGAACCCAAAGGAATAGCTCTCCATTGGTGAAAACAAATGGACAAATGGGTGATGAAGCTAGCTATTTTTGACTCCTAGGCACTTTTCTCATTGCATCATGAACATGATTTCTACCTATTCCCCATAAATCTTTTTGAATGTCAACTAGGTTAAAATTGTTCCTAAAGCTACACCTGTGACCTCAAAGGATTGATCACTAAAACTTGAAATAAAGACATTCTTCCAGATAAAGTTGTGATGGTACATAGAGGAGATATTTTTGTGATTGTGTAGCATATGGCAATAAAACCAAGTCAGCACCAAGACAATAAGATCACTTCTTATCCTGCTCCTGACTTCCCCAGACTAATTTTCTACTTTTGCTCTATCTACATTTGCTGTCATATTAGATATGTATCCACTCTTTTAGCCTCTTACTTACAGATTTCTTTTGAACCACCATTTGAAGAAGTGCCCATGCCAGCCATGTTCACCTCTAACCTGGCTCAACTTCTGACTTTCCAAATTCCTTTTTCACTTTGTCTTCAGGGATTACCTTCTCCTCCTCCCTTTCCTCCCTTTCCATCTCTCTTTTAGGCATAGTCTTCCCACATTAGAATGTAAGCTCCCTGAAGGCACTGATTGTCTTTCTTTTTCTTTCTATTTGTATTTCCAGCTCTTAGCACAATGCTTTTGCATACAGCAAAAGTCTAATAAATGCCAAATCTAATCTCTTCTTGTTGTTCAGTCGTGTCCAATTCTTCATGACCCCATTTGGGGTTTTCTTGGCAAAGGAGTGGTTTGCCATTTCCTTCTCTGGCTCATTTGACAGATGAGGAACTAAGGCAAACAGAGTTCAGTGACTTTCCAGGGTCATATAGCTATTAAATGTCTGAGGCCAGATTTGAACTCAGGAAGATGAGTCTTCCTGACTCCAGGACCAGCACTCTATCACTGCACCAAACTACCTATCCATACAATCCAATGTAATTTAAATCCAATGTAAGTGGGGATATATGAGTCATACCAGTTATTCTGTCTGATTATCAGGATTGTCAAATGATTGGATTTATATGGTCCAGTTCTACTATTTATATGGTTCAATCTCCATCTCTGGCCTTGATGGTGGTCTCTACTATAGAGAGTGTATTTGTCAGATGAGTTGATCTGATTAATACAGATATACAAGACCACAAGTGGCATTTTTTTCTTCATTTTCCTTCATTTCCTTCCTCCCTCCCTCACCTTCCTTCCTTCCTTCCTTCCTTTCTTTTGTGGTAGTGGTAGATTCTGCATTACCTAAATTACTTATGGTTATTAAAAAAACCAACTAGAATAGTTCTGCTATTATCTTTGATTTAGCACTGTACAGACAGGCCTAATATACATTAATGTATTAGGTTTAATATTGAATAAAAATACAGATTTTAATATGGTTACCCAAAACAAGTCTAAATTAGTGATTAAATTATAAGAATATCATGTATATTTAAGAGATTGTATCTATTTAATTATCATTTTAGGTATCTGACTCTATAATTGTACATTGACATTTTCTGTTGTGATGGACATAATTCAAGCATGAAAATCTATAATAATGAAGATGACATAAGCTACTTGAAGTCAGGGATTCTTTTCTTTTTTGTCTTTGTATCTACAGAAACTTACATAAGATAAGCACTTTAAATGTTAGTTTAATTGAATCAAATCAGTCAAGATATTTCAGGAAATGTTAATGAGCTGCTTTAAAATCGTATTAAAATGGAATTGATAACATTACATTGAGGTTCTTTTTTATTATCTAAAGCACTCTACCCAAGAAAAGAATAGAGTTTACTATTAAAAGGAATGATATAGGCCAGAGTGCATACATATTAAAATATTGTTATTGCCAAGTAATTTAATTTTATTAAATATTACAGTAGAATCTTTAAATTCATCATAAGAATGGAACAGAATAAGACTTTGGATGGGCCTGGTGAAATCTTGGATCCATTAAAATAATGAATATTGAATGTTGATGAGTTATGTTTAATTACTCCTGAAACACTACGTATGGTTACTGTCTTAAGTTTTTGGTGACAAAGAAGTGGAAACTTTATTCAATATGTTAACTAGTGTTCAAAAGACTAATTTGTTTTATATTCAATGCCTCTAAAATGATAATTATCAATTTTACCAAATAAAGGTATTTTTATTCTCTATCAGGTAATTGGCATAAAAGCTGACCTTCTATCTAAACCAATGCATACAGCTCTTTCTAATGGGTGGTAATGTATTATATAAGCGGACTTCATGGCCTGAGTTTCATCTTTGCCATCTTGAGCACCTAGTATCATGCATCACACAGTATATTTGCATTTGGTAAGGGTTAACACTTGTTTGTTGAATTGAAATGTGAGAAAATGAGATGGGGTACCTTAAATTTACTCAAATTTATTTTTCAAGCAAGAAATAGGTCACTCCTGGAAGGAATTCCCAGTTGTCTCTAAGAACAGTGGCATGTTCCAAATGAATGTGGAAAAGAGCATATGATTCCTAAGGGGGAGCATATGACTCAAAAGCAAAAAGCCCTGACAGCATTAGAGAGAACAAATGAAACACAGATAAAACACAGAAAAATATGCTAGAGGGGAAAAAAAAACCCGAACAAATTAAGTCCAGTTGGTTTCAGTAAAAGACAGCAATATTTTCTGTGCATAGTGCCAGCTTTTAGTTGTCTGTGTTACAGGGGACAGGAAAAGCTTGGATGTTTTAAATCAACATTTTACTCCCCAAAGCCCCATTCTTGTTTTTTGATTAGTCAATTCACAAATAACAGCGTAACTAGAAATATTCTCAATTTCCCCTCCTATCCTCCATGACCCCCTCAACAGAATAGAGGAAAACCACTCTGAGGCTTGTATTATCTGACTGGTGGTTTATGTTGATCAGATTAACTCAAATGTTTCTAAATGAATAGCAAATTGACTGATTTGCCTTTATTTGCTTTTACTATTTTTGATCACTCTTTCTAAGTAATGAGGACACACAAAGACACTAGTATCTGCAAATGTGTATAAATAGATAACAATTGTGGAAATGATAGAATTGGTCATCTTAACATTTTCAGTTTTATGAGGCATGTTTTGATTGTCCTTTTTCCTCTAGCCTTTGATGATCTGTAAATGGATTATATCCAGACCAGTCGACATGACTGAAATATTTGCAAATTCAACAAGCAAACAAGTATCAACTGTGTGTCATGCTTAAAGCACTGTGGTAGTCACTAAGGGACATACAAAGTAAAATATAATATAAAGCCTTTGCCCTCAGGGAGCTTAAAGTTTAATTTTCTCCAGTTAGGCAAGTTATCCTTTTGCCAGGCTTTTTTTCTGTTGTGCTATCAATTTCTCATCTCAATGGCCACTCAGGAAATTATTTTTCTAGTTGGATATTTAGATAAACAATCTCAATAAATGTCTCTCAAGCCATTTGTGTCTGTCTTTCAAGGGCAAGAAAATAGGTAAAACAAAACTTTTTACTTAAAGGACGGAGTGCGGATTGTCAAAAAAAATTCCTTGTGTGCGTGAAAGGTCAGACATTTTCTAATAACAAACCATATAAAGGATCAGAGGCAATATTTTAAATGTAAAGTTTTTTTCTCATCATCAAAAAGTATAGCCTCCTTTATTTTAAACATATTACTTTGAGTAGAAATATAAATCTGGGACAATGGCCTTTGAAATGAAGTAAATAAAAAGGAGAGAATTCATTAAATGATGTTCAACTCTATTATATAATAATTTGATGAATCTTGGTCCTTAAAAAAAAAAGTACCATCATGTTGTTCTCTCCAAGTATAGAAAGTTTATGTTAAGTCTGTAGAATATATAGTCTATGTTAAGCACAATTCAGAGAGTCTTGATTTGGGGTTATACATTATTTTAAAATTTGTAAATATTATTGTTATAAATGTAACATTTGCAACAAACACTTGTGATATATGTATATATGCATATGTATGATAATAAATGAGAGAAATAAGTGGCAATACATGAAACCATATTCATGGTCTTAATTTAATATGTCTGAATTGGTGTAAAATAAATTTATTTTGAAGAGTATACTGCTGTTTGTTCTTATTTTCAGGAATATTTCTCCCCCTTAAATATCTTAGAGGAAAATAAATAATTCTGAAGTATTTACCTTCCATGGAAGTATAGGTATAGTCTGAGACAATCAGGTAAACAGTAACAGAATTTTGCTTTAAAAATCCTTTGTGATAACCCTAATCAGTTCCGAGCTTGTATTTCTAAACAAAGAAGAGGATTTGTATTTACCCGGGCTCCTTTCTCAGGATAGCACTGACAACCTCCACTGCAGTCTCTTCCACCACAGGGCACATCGTATTTTTTTACACCCTGAGAAGATAAAAGAAGAAAAGAAAATAGTTAAATAATTTCAACTACAACTCATAGTAAAAGTATAATTAGTATCAAAGGTCATTTGAAGAAAAAAGTTGCATTTATTAAGTACCTACTGTAATAGACGTACTTCAAGTGTAGACTAGGGGGGCATGGCACACCTGGCCCATGCCCTATACATGTTATATTATATGTATAATACTTTACTGGAAATGGGAGAGGGGTCTGGTTATAAAGTTTTTATAATAGCACTACAGTCACTGCTCTTGAGAAACTTAAAATCTAACGAAGGAAGGAAAGAAGAAAGGAATGAAAGAAGGAAGGAAGGGAAAAAAGCATTGCCTACTATGTGACAGGCACAGCGTTAAGCGCTTTACAGATATTATCTCATTTGATCCTTACAACAACCCTGGGAGAGAGACACTATTATCCCCATTTTACAGTTGAGAAAACTGAGGCAAATGGAGATTAAGTGATTTGACCATGGTCACACAGCTACTTCTTCCATGAATCTTATCCTAATTCCTTCTAAACCTAATCGACTCTGTGTATTCTCTAGGCCCTAAGACAATGCTCTGCAAATACTAGATACTTAATAAATGTTTGCTGCATTTGTTGCATTACATTACTATTAAATTCTAAAGCAAGAGACACTTTTTATTTCAGAAAATTTAACAGGATAAAAGTGCAAGATTATAAAAACAACTAATAAGTTTCTGAAACTCTCTGATAGATTGTTATTATTATTTGAAAAGCTTGGTCTGACAATTTCATTAGTATTTGCTAAAACTGTCTCATCAAAAATGAATTTTAGAGTTATATAACTATTAATAGATGCTACTAAACTTAGTAATTTTATATAAGGAACACAGAAAATTACAAAATTATTAAATTCAATAAATACTTATTAAGCTACTTTCCTGTGCTCAGTACTGGAGATATAAAAATAAAGATGACATAGTCTCTGTCCTTGAGAAGCTTAACATCAAATAAGAGGAATAAGATATCTACCCAGAAAAGAATGCTATAAGGTACATAAAGGTAAAGAAGAGACACAGAAAAGGAATTGTGGGATTAGAGGGGAGAAAGGCAAAGTTAGTGAGAAATCAGCATTCAATTTCATGGAGGAAGTGACATCCAAAACTGGGCTTTAAAGGAGGACCTCAGGACTATAGATTTGGAGTTGGAAGGGACTTGAAGCATCAGTGAGTTTTTTTCACTCTTCATTTTTACAGATGAGGAAAATGAGGCCTATAGAAGTTTGGTGAGAGAAGAATTTCAAAAGTTACAACCTGGGACGAAGGTAAGGGGAATGCGTTTCAAGCATAGGAACCATACCACCTGCCCAAATGTTCAATGATAGGAGAAGATAGGATGAAATCAAAGAACAGCTAGAATAAAACAAGGTTGAATAGATAAGTTAGAACCAGACTGAGAAAGGGGCCTAAATGCCAGGCTAAGGAAGTTATATTTTATCCTAGAGTCAAATGGAGAGCCACTGAAGAGCTTTCACTCATTATTTTGAGTATGGAAATAACATGACCAAACTTAAGCATTAGGGCAATAATTTGGGGGCATTATGAAAGATGAGTTGCACAGAAGAAAGACTGGAGGCTAGAGGACCAATTGGGAAACTATTACAATGGCAGCAGGAGGAAGGAGTAGTGGAGGAGTGAAATGCAGATAGGGCAGCCGTTACCAGGTACAAGCAATAGGACTTGGCAGCTCAATGTATGAGAAAGTTGAGAGAGAATGAAGACTCAAATAGGATTAAGATTTCAAGTCTGAGTGTCATCCAAAGAAATAAAGAAGCCAAGAAGAGAAGATCTTCAGGAAAGGATGAGTTCAGATTTGGATATTTTAAGTTTGATGTGCCGGCTGAATATCTAAATAGATACCTAGCAGGGAATTAGAAATCTGGCACTGGCACTCTGGGGAGATATTAGATCTAAATGTATAAGTTTAGAAATTATATTGTTGTTTTCAGCCATTTCAATCACGTCTGACTCTGTGACCCCATTTGTTGTTTTCTTGGTGATGATACTACAGTCATTTGTCATTTTTCTTTCTCTAGTTCATTTTATAGATGAGGAAACTGAGACAAACAGGGTCTTGTCCAGGGTCACACATTTATTAAGTGACTGAAGTGGGATTTAGACTCAGGTGCTCTTGACTCAGGGCTGGCCCTCTATCCATTGGGTCATTTAGCTGCCTAATTTGGAATTATTATAGGATCATAGATTTAGAACTAAAATGGAACTTCGAAGTTATCTAGTCTTACCCTCTCATTTTATAAAGGAGGAAGCTGAGGCCCCAAGATCTTGAGGGATTTGTTCTAGATCCCAAAGCTACTAAGAATCTGAAACAGGGTTTAAATCCAGGTCTTCCTGACTCTGAATCCAGTCTTTCCACCCTACCGTATTGTCTCCAAGTCATCCAGTCACGGATGATCATTGAAGTCAAGGGAGGAGATGAGATTGCCAAGGGATAACATCAAGAAAAAAGAGAGGAGGACAGCTGATGATAGTAACTTTGGGGACACTGAAACTTAGGAAATGCAGAGCAAAAGAGATTGAGGAGAGGTCAAATAACGAAGCCGGTGTCATAAAAGCTAAGGCTGTCAAGAGCTGCAAATACTTCAGGAAGGTTAAGGCAGATAAGGACTAAGAAAAGGCTAATAGATTTGGCAATTAAATGGTCCCTGGTGACCTTGGAGAGAGAATTTCAATAAAGTAGTAGGAATGGTAATCCTATAACTTAAATCTTGGGTTATCTCTCTTAATTACCAATGAACACAGACCTTAACCTGAAGAATTTTGTCTGCTCTAGGAATACATAAATACGTAGGTCAATTGTCCAAGAACCGAGATAGTGAGTGACCCCCTGAGGTATTATAATAGGCCTTGAAGTCAGGAAGATATGGGTGATGTGACTCTGGAGTAAGTCCCCCAAGCTCTCTGAGTTTCACTGGCTGGCTTCAATGATCTCAAAGTCCCCTTGAGCTCTAAGTCTCTGACTTTATGAGCCTAGGAGGCATTATTGGGGCTGAGGCTGTGAATGATTACCAATCCTGATAAGCATACACAAAATGATGCTGGGAAATGGAGCCAGTTTAGGAGGTGTGATTCATGAGTAGAGCTCGAAGGACAAAAGCCTGTTATAAGACTGGGGGGATTTCAGAGTTCAGGAATGAGGAGGTCAAGCATGGTAACACTGAAGTTTAAAGAATGACTAATTTTGTGGGTTACTGAGGTAACGTGGAGGTGGTGGTCATGGGTGCTGAGGGCATTGAGAAGCTGAGAAATCAAGAAGCTAATGGGATAATTAATAATAACTAACTAATAAATAACTAATAATAAGTCCCCCAAAGGCTTAAAACTACACTAATAATGATGATGATGATAATAATAATGATACTGTTATTAGCTATTAAAGCTTAAAATGGCACTAAGCCTTCAGGGACAACATGTATAATGCTTAAAGATTTGCAAAGAACTTAATACATATTATCAGTGTATACTGACCTCCCTGGCTTCAAGTCCCAACTAAAATCCCACCTTCTAGAGGAAACCTTCCCTAACCTTTCTTAATTCCAATACTTTCCCTCTTTCAATTATTTCCTGTAGCTCGTTTTGTATACATTTGCTTTCCAGTAGCCTCCTCCCATTAGAATGTAAGCTTCTTGAGGGCAGGGACTGTCATTTGCATCTTTTTTGTATATCCCCAGGGCTTAACACAGTGCCTAGCACAACACATGTTTATTGAATGAATGAATGATTCAATAATCCTATGGCATAGGCACTATGACTGTTATTACCACTACAGGTAGGTCCTGATTAGTTCAAACAATGAATCTAGTGAAGTGGTTACAAATATTCAAATCTTTACTATTCTATCTTCTTTCCTCTAAAGTCTTTTAAAGCTATTCACCAATGCAATTGCTCCTATTTATAGGACACTTTATGGTTTACAAATTGCACAACAACCCCAGTACAATTATGATCCCATAGTAGGACAAAGGCAGTACAATTATGATCCCATATTTACAGATAAGGAAATTGAGGCTCAAGGAGTTGAGACACAGCAGTAGTTTGGCTCAAACTCAGATCTTTTTCACTTCAAATCCAATTCTCCTTCCATTATACTATACTGTCTCTCATGGTTTCCATGATTAAGATCTTCTGTCTGGTTTTCATGATAGTGTGTATGCCAGGACAGTTTTACTTCCAGGCATATGCTGAATGTCTGCAAGTCCTGTAGTCTCCACAACAATTCGTGTTTTGTATTGTCTCTATCTACACTACAGCTTGATGGCCAATAAACTTTTGGCCAAATACATATGACCTTAGATAAACTAAGGCTTAGTTTTATTGGAAAGCCCAAAGCTTTTGAAATGGGGATGACTTTAACTCCAAAATGTAGAACAAACCTAGCAATATGCAGCTATCTGATCTGATTTGGTTCTTGTTTATAAAAATTTGTCATTTTATGACAGTTTTAATCTTTTCCCAAAAGCTTATTTATTCTCAGCTCCTTCTTCCCCCACTTAACCATTTAAAATATTGTGTGCTGAATTTTTAGCTTCTGGGAGTCTAAATAGGGATTTTTCACTTTAAGCATAGTTGCAATAAAGATTATGTTTAACACCAATGCATGAAATAGCCTAGGTGTTCTATATTCCAACTAAATTGCAGAATCACAGAGCTAGAAGGAGTCTGAGACCTACCCAGCTCAAAAGCCTTCCTTGAAACTTCCCACACAAGTGGTCGTTCGACCTTTGCTTGAAGACTCTAGTTGGGGGGGAACTCCTACCTCCCAAGGTAGACCATTCCAAATATGTTATCTACATATTCTGTGGCAAATAACCCTAGTTTACTTAATAAGTTATTTATCAGTCTTTGAAAAAAAAACCGGTACAAGGGTAAAACATTAACAGGGTTTCAAGAAGGAAATACCACTATTTTACAAATAGCGTACTGTGGTATGATAGTAAGCTA